TCCCCCCCCCCCCCCACCTTCCCCTCCTTCACTCCGTTCGCATCTGTGCGGGCCTCTCGTCAGGCAGAGCCGTGACCCAAACAGTTTGTGACAGCTTTCTGGGAGAGTGGAAACTGGAGACCAGGCATGCCTCACAGACCTGAGAGCAGCAAAGGTTTCTCTCTGACATCTCTCATGGTTTTAAAAAAAAAGAGAAGTTGATAAATAAATATGCCAACATAAAATCCTTTTTTGCATCTGAAAACTGAAAGCACAAGTGGACCCGGACACAAGCTGCAAAAACGTCACACGAGACCTAATTTATTAGGAATTTCGTCTAGATTCTTTTGATCCTCGTCTTTATGGAGAGCCATAGATAAAAATAAATAAATAAATATATAAAAAACGCATCACCGCAGGCCAGATGTTAATCTGGAGCTCGAGTTAGGGGAAATATCCACATCAGATATAACAGGAAGTGTTCATCTACGGGACTACCTCTATCTTTTTTATCTTTGCCGTGTTGTTAACATGGAGTAAAATGGCCTCGAAACCTGGACAAATATGGGATTTTAGTTGGGAAAAGGCCGGACGAAGCCGTTAAAGAGGGAACGATGCTCTGAGCATTTGATAATCTCAGAGCTCGTTTTTAAAAACCCATTCAAATAACCAGGGGGACATTAAAAAACCTGCTCCCTACCTGTGGGGTCCAGCATGGCGTTGGCGGCGCCCCAGCGGTGGTAAAGGGCGGCCAGCTCGTGCGGCCTGTAGTTTTTCAGGAAGCTCAGAACGTCAGCTGGCATCTCTGGCGTCTCTGCCATGGGCTCCTGCTTCACGTCTCCCCGGCCGTCTGCAGGTATTGAGGAGGAGGAGGAGGAGGAGGTGGAGGAGGAGGAATTCTGCAGTGTGCCTCCGTGCGTGTGGGAAGCTCCGTAGGCGGGCGTGGCGGCTGAACTGTGGGCGATGGCGCTGGGCCTGGAAGCGTTGGCTCGACCCTGGCCGTAGGAGCCGGGCGGCGGCTGGTGAGGGGAGCCCCGGGCTCGGCTGTACTCCGCCAGGCCGTGTTTGCTGGACAGCATGAAGCCCAGACCCTCCTGGGGCACCAGGTAGCGGTCGGCCATCCTGGCGGCTGAAGCGGAGCCGGGGCTGGGGCTCAACAGGCGGGGCTGGACCCCGGCGGTCTTCTCCAAAGAGCTGGAAGATGCTTGGGAGCTACCCCGGGGGTACATATCAACTTTGGGTCTGAAGCGATGACTCTGGTCCTCTGTGTGTTTGATGATGCTGCTGCTGGTGGCTGGCATGCTGACCGGGACTCTCCGGGACGAGGAACCCCTGGAAGATGAGGAGGCGGGGGCGGATGAGGACGAGGCGGTGGCCGCCTGCCTGGCCGGCCTGCTCTTCTTCTCGGCCTCAGCGGAGCAGGTCGGGGGCTGCGTGCGTTTGGTGCGTGCCAGCGGAGGCAGCGGCTGGCACTCCCTCCCCTCCAGCACTGGCGGAGGGCCGGTGCGTCTCCTGGTGGACGCCGAGCTGTCCTTGGAGCCCTTCGAACTGTTTTTCAGAGCCCACTTCGGGGCCACGTTGGAGCTGCTGCTGTTGATGCGGTGAGCCACTGTCTGATGCATCCAGAGAACCTCGGGGTAGCGAGTGGAGTGAGAGCAGAAGGAGCACTTGTGGCTAGGAAGGCTTTTTTTATCTGGAGCTGAGGAGGCCGTGCCCCGGATGCCCTCAGCCCTCACGCAGAGATCCATCGGGACTAAAGTCGGATCCCGTGGAGAGGAGTGAGCCGAGAGGTACGCGTGAGGGGATGTGGTGGTGTTCACCCCCTGCAGAAAAGCCTTCTTGAGTTTGGGATTGCCGCTGGAGCTTCCTCTGTCCAAGCTGGAGCCGCTGCTGCCAATGCAGCCGGGTCTATCTTTGGAGGCAGCCGGGTGCTGGACCCGAACATGGGTCAAATAGGTCTGCGACTCTGTGGTGGCAAAGTCACACAGGCTGCAGATGTAAGGCTTCATGTCTGGAAGGAAAAAAGGAAGGAAAGCATAAAGGGTTAGTGACTTCAGTAGGGTAACAAAAAAA